AGGTCGAATGTCCGTGTGACAGCTACCGCTTCAAACTGTGCCCCGTCGAGTATACCATGTCTCTTGTTGGGGATCGCCATCTCACGTATCGCTCCCTCCGACATATCGTAATGAGCAAGCGATGAACCGATGAGAAAGGCGTTGCGAATCTGCCGGCCGTTCCAGCGTCCCACATACTCCTTGTTGGTCTCATAATGGTTTCTCGCCCAGCTGAGGATGTCCTCTTCGTCGATCACAAGCCTGCCACGCCCCTCACTCTTCCCCTCAATCTCCTTGATCTTCTCAATGTTGACCCTGAACACAGCCTCGTACTGTTCCTTGCTCAAGGGAGGATACTTCAGGCTTACGTGGGTGCGAGATTTGAATGCCTCGTCAAGAGTCCCGACTCGGTTAGTTGTAAGGAACAAGATGCCGCCGTAGTACTCGAGGATTCGGAGAAAGACTGACAAGCGAGTTAGTGATCTTCCGGAACAAAAGCATCGAAGCACATACCAGACACGAGCGCGTTCCTTTGCAGGTCTGACGGTGACCTCTTGGTGAAAAAGATCTTGGCTTCGTCGAGAAGCAGAATACAATCCCAGCGATTAGCCAAGCGAAATATCCGCGTCAGGCTTTTCTCGACAGTCCCCGGCTCAAACCCCAAGTCACCGCACGTGATAGCAAACAAGGCTTCTTGTACTCCTGCGCCACAGCTTCAGCAGTTGCCGTTTTACCAACACCAGGAACACTGTGGAGCAAGAACACCAGCCCAGTACCTTTGCCTCGCACGAGATCTTGATACACGACTTCTTTTCCTCGGTCACGATGGGCTTTCTTGCGGAAGTGCTCCTGCACCAACGAACGCACCATGCTCTTGTTCCGTGGATCAATACTGAGCTTGTCGAAGATACCATTTTGTAGAGTGATCCTCCCCAGCGAGGTCACACAAGCATTGACGAACTTGCGCTCGAGGAGAGCAAACACCACAAGCCGACGTGGAAGTAACTGCAGGTACCGGCCACTGGGTATGGCATCACTTTCGTGAGCTCCGTTCCGCAACGCTGTCAAGAATGGGTCGTTCTCGAGGTAGTTCTCGAGGTAGTTGTTACGACGAATGTGAGCAATGTTATCTGACCGGTGTAGGACTATGCAGGCATGCATATTGTCCTTCCGAGGCTTGTTCCATCGCTGGGCTGAGATGGATTCGGCATCACAACTGTCGTATCTCCAGCTTGCCTCCTGCACCATCTTCAGGACATGGAACTCGGGTTCCCACCATGGAAAGGATTGGAAAGCCTCGTTGAAGTCAACAATGACCTCGCTCTCAATATGCTCCGGGTATTTGGTGTTGTCGTCCAGAACAGCATCAACCGGACTCCGAGTGAGTGTCCAGCCGCGATGATACAGGTGTTTGATCCTGATGACCTCGGCAAATTTGAGCCCGTTTTCACTCCTCTCCTTAAGAAACCTGGTTTCTTGGTCTAGACTCATGAAGTGAGTAGGATAGACCGGCAAGGTGGTCACGTCACGTTCGCCGGAAAAGCTCCGAATCAAGAACTGATGCGTGACAGGACCGTATGAATCACCGTCAAAATCGAGATAATAACAGCAAATGCGGGTTGTCCTCTCCTCGTCATAGGCGTCTGCGTCCGAGCGCCCCATCCCGTCGTCGTCTCCTGGTTGTTTGACCTCAAGTGAGTCGGGATCAATCGGGGTCTCGGGCGTGATAACCGCATACACAATCCAGCAGGTCTGGTACGATTGCTTTGTTGTTGTTATTTTTAACGTCTACTTCCGTCTCCCGTAGGGCATGAGACGTAGGTTTGGTACGATGCTTCCAGGTCAGAAGAGCTGCTGTTTGTCGACACGTTGGCCGAAGATCTTCCCTTCCCGGTCGGTACAGGTGAATAGACTATGTCACCCTCGCGATACAGGTACCACAGATCAGTGAAGGTGACCTTGGAGCTCTGCTCGACTCTGGGCACAGCTCTCTCCAATCGGACTGAAGCCGACATCACCTCCCGCTCCAGAAATTGGATATACTCCCGCATATGCAGCAAAGCTTCCTTGCTATCAAGGTAGTTCTTCGAGGCCTTCGTGTCGGAATTGTCACTGTCCTTGGGTTTGGCATCTCCACCTGCTGCAGCATCTTCCACCACGCCCGGACTGACACCCCATCGACCTTCAAGTTCATCCAACGCCTTCTTCATCTCCGAGTGGTAGTGGATGAGAAGTCTGAACGGTCGGCAGAAAGTCTGAGGTCTCATCGGCAGGCTGAGGTCTGAATCTTCGCCGGCAGCACGATAGAGATGCTTGAGAATGCACAGGGAATGAATCCGCACACGATAGAGTATCTCTGTACTGTTGTCAATCATCTTCTTCTGACCCGCGTCCTCCATGCGATTTTTTGACTGTTTTCCCGATGCTGTTTTTCCTTCTGGATTTGGCTGTGAAGACTGGAGGGCCCCTTGAGGGCATAGATAATGTTGGTCATATCCTCGTTCTCATAGAAGTTCTTGAATTGCTTGAAGGTCACGCATCTGTACTCGGGAACAAGGTCTCCGAGTGTCAGGTTTTCCGACTCCGGGGCGTATATGTCCTTGTCTTCCTCCTCCGTCTTCTTTTCTTCGTTCTCCTTGCCATCCCCATCACCCGACTTCTGGTCTGCCAACTCTTTGACTTCTGCATCATCTTTCTTCACGTCAGTTGAGCCGTCTTTGGCTTCAGGCTTGTCTGTGGTGGCGATGGGCTTCACTTCCTGCCAACAGATCAACATGTCAGTCACTTGATTGTCTGAGTTTGTGAAGGGACAAGACGTACACCATCGATGGTATCTCCTGCTTCCTTTCCCTTTACAGGTGAAAGAAAGTCCACTGAAGTCTCTTTGACCTCTATGGTTGGGCTTTTGGAATCGAGTTGGCGCACTACATCCGGATGCTCCGTTGATACAACTTCCACTGCTGTGGCCATGATGGCTTGGTGCGATTGTCTCGCTTTGGTCGAGATCAAAGGTGTTCGTTGGGCTGCACGTATCGCAACAGATGTAGGGAAGGCAGGCCAGCCTGGGTGGAAACACTTATGGATCGCAATTGTGGTGTTTCTGGGGGATAGGTAAGTCACTACCCGTCTTCCCCTCTTTTCTTCCAAAAGGTTTTCCGCGGACCTTGCAGGGGAACAGTGCAATGTAGCTATGGTCATGACCCTAGTGCTGACAGTCTGATGCCCCAGGGTCACATGCGGAACATCCATTACCATCCCACACAATCTACACGCAACGAGCTAGACCCATGTCGGTTTGGTATCACAAAAACGAGGCAAGCACTGCCACCCTCAATATCACCGAGCATACTGCGGCTGAGACTTCACAGTTGGCGGCAACATATCTTTGGATTATGCCTATCACACGGACATTTATTACCTGGCAGTAACAGCATGCATTTGTCCATCATCCCGGCCTGAAGGATCAAAGTCTGTTCTCAGTCTCACCTCTCGTTGTCGAGGATCATGAGGCCCGTTATCATTTCGGCATATTCATGTTCATTAACTTCACTGCTCACTTTGCACTTCGTGACTCCTTAGGTACCGTTGCATGCATATCAGCTCGCACCCCCTCCCACTCGGTCGCCTAAAGACCCCATGTCATTGATGGAGGGTTGGCCTCAACCCACCATATCACCTTCATGAAACGAGTGTAGCGCAGCCTTACTTCCTACGGCCCCCATTGCCTAAACAAGCGCCGACATTCTGTGAGGTAAGCGCGGCTTGCTTTGGACTCATTTGCACTGGTCGCCTTTTCCCACGGGCGGATGGTGTATACCTTACCTACCCACCACATCAATCCAGGCACAGATACCGGCCCCTCATCAGATTGGAACAAGCTTCCCCGCACAACACCATGTATCTACCCTTCTCCTTACAGTGAAAGATTCTATGTCATTCACATCAGGTTGGATCAACAATTGAAGTTTGAATGTTTCTTAGGTAACTGCGACTAGACTTAGAAAGCTTGCTCTTTCGACGAGCACCGAACAGCGAACGATGGAACCAAGAGATAGCACCGGCTTACCATTGAGCGTCACTTATGTCAAGACGGAAGCCAAAAGACTTCATCCACTGTTCTCCGGGGACGTGAGCTATGACCGCATAAACGATGAGTTTGTGCCTCCTCAAACGCTCAGGTACAGTACCTTATCACTATCAGTATCTCTTATCATCAAGTCGCTAACAAAAGCTTGACCAGGCCTGAGCCCAATCTCGTGAAGGCTGACTTATCTGATCTCCAACAAGCGCTTGAAACCTATCAGAGGGTTCAAGAAGCACGAGGACTGGCCGGAACTTCTCTCGAATTCAAGGATCCCGCTGACTGCACGTGGGACGATGTGACAAGGGCAGTATTCT